TCAAGCTGACGAGTCAAGAACCTCACTGGCTTATCTCTATATGCTATATATATATATATATATATATATATATACCAACTATGTCACTATGCATTTTGAAGAAGTACATAGTGATTTGGTGTATACCAGTGCCTGTTTGTGTGTGCCCTTGTTCCATTATGTTTACTTCATTTACGAATTCAGGAATGATAACTGAGGGTAATTAGAAAAAAACATAACTCCTGTACCCATCATAAAGACTTAATGCTCCCTCTCTCCTTTTAATATTTTAGCCATCAGCCCAATTGCTCAAGGTCTGACACCCGCCTGGTTACGTTGATGAGCCTTTTGTCTGTGTGTGGGGAGAAGGTGTAAGCTAAGATGCAGAGAAAGAGTGCCATGAGCACGGTGATTATTAAACATGAAACTCCTTTTCTTCGCATATACTATCAATGTTGTTTACTATGTTTCCACACATATTCACATAGATTCAAAAACCTACACTCCCGATAGATATCCTGTGAAATATACCAAATTTTTATGTGCCTGTTGTAGCTTGATTAGAGATTGGTTGGTTAATTTCCATAGTTGTAATAGGAATACGTCCCAGGTCCGAAAATGGCGACCTACGATTCTCTTGTCTCACAAGTCCACACAAAATGAGGCCAAGATACGTTTCGAAATCTAGTTTTTCTTCATATTTCCTCTCCAAAAACTGCCTATTCCCTTTAAGTGGGCCTCGTCCATCAGGCTGCTTATGCACTAAGGCGGTAGTCGACTTCTTCAGTCTGTAGGCCATGGCCACTACGTACCACATGCTTACATGTCTTCCTGTCTGACAAGCATCATTTTTCGCCTTTACTTTCCTTCAGTACTGACAGTTGAATGAGCTGGAGCTTCTTTTTTTCACCTCGCCGTCTTGCACGAACTCTTTTCACCAAACGCCTCCTGTACCACTCTTTTATTGTCTTGTCTCTTTTTTCTCTCCGAGGTGTACTGGATAGTCTTCTGAAGCTGCCCTAATAGCGTTTATACTTAGCAATCTATTTAATTTTTTTAATATATTTTCTATTTCTAGCGCGTAAATCGTTAAATTCCCTCTTTTCATTTTGGCCTTAATCCCCTAGGCCTCTGTGCACTACACCCTGAGTGCTGCCGTAGAGACTGAAGACTCTCAGACTTGGCCAAGCTCTCCGCCTTCTTGGCCCGTAGGAAATGGAGAGGCCGTCGAGGTGGTACCGACACAGGGCTATCTCCCTGGTGGGTCGCACACCTGCATCGCGGTCACTATGCGACCACAAGCTCGAGCCACTTATGCTCACGTGATCAGCTACCAGTTGGTCAGGGGGCCTCAGTCGTTGCAGCAAGGTGAGGCAATCAAGGCCATTCGGGATACCAGGGGATTGTCGGACGATCTGGCACAGGCTAACGCTTGCATTGCCAATCCAATCTACAGGCAATCTACTCAACCTTGCTTTAGAATAAGGGTTCTTGTCACCCATAAAGTGATATTGAAATTTTTTCACAACGATATTATTAGGTCTCTGGTTTATATTTAATTTCACAAGGCCTTGATTTACTGATAGTCTCGAAAACCTACTTTATCTGAATATAAATAATATAATTATATATATATTTATATATATATGTACGTACGTACGTACGTACGTATGTATGTACGTATGTATGTATGTATGTATGTATGTATGTATGTATGTATGTATG